CACTCCCTCCTGAATCCCAACGAGAATTCCCTGACTTGCTCTCCTCAGGCTTGTGTCCACATTGGGCTGTCCTCAGAGAAGGAGTGGCTGTCCCCTTCCTGTTATCTGGAAGGTCTGTACTAGCTTCATTCTTTCCTTCCCGCATTTGCTAGACTCTGCAGTGAAGCCATCTGTGCTCCGAGTTTCAGTTGGACGGAAGATTTTCACTACTGTTCAGTATCTTTAAATTCATATATTATTTTTTCTGAGCTAATTTTGCGACATTACATTTCAGATTATCCGTATTCGTTTCAAATTCAAAATTATTGGACAATTTGCATATCTTATTTTTAAATCGAAGCATTTCAATACATGTGTCAGAGGTGAGAATTTTTATTGGGTAATTTCAAAGAGCCCACTTTTGTCAGTTTGTTCCCGTCCATGTGTGTTCCCATGATGTGTCATTCCCGCCTCGAATTCTATCCGTTCCTCCTTTTCCCTCCCGAGCCCGTTTACCGTGTCTCTGCGTTCCTGAGTCGGGGGATCGCCCCGCCCACGTGCTGACTGCTTCGGTGACTCCCTTGCTGTAACATCGGCGCATAAAACCCTACGCTCGGCTTCAGCGCATGGCGGCGAGGTTGTTTTACTGTCTCGTCATGGGGGCTTTACTTTAAGCACTTCTAGCCTTTGTACGGTGTTGTATTTTTGGACGAAACTTGTTATTTAAGAGCTGTCTGTTAATCCAATGCTCATTCTTTATCCCTTCTGGTTACTGCTAGTCAGAAGAATGAGCTCTGTGTGATTTAATCTTTGAATTGGTAGACTTGCCTAGAATATGATGAATATTATGAAAGTCTGCTTTGGGCTTGAAAAGACTGTGTGTCATGAAAAACAGCTGTCTGTGAGGTCTCTCAGGTCAGGCTTGTAAGAGATGCTCAGAACTTATAGACGCACGGGGTCTCGTAAATTTTTATTACACTTGTTAAGCTGGGGTCCATTTCTCCCACGATGATTATGGATTTTTATATTTTTCTTCTACTACGTCAAATTTGCTTATGTTGCTTTTAGGATTGTCACTGTCGCACGCCCTTTACAATCTGGTGTATCTTCCTGGTGCATTGAAATTTTGTTACGTGCCGTCGCTGGTTCTGGGAAAAACACCTTTTGCCGTCAACAAGGCGCTTTGCGGACGGCTGCTGGCGTGCGCACTGTGCTTTCCGCCATTCGCTTTCCCAATGTCTCTATTCTAATTTCTGCTGTGTCTTTTCCCCAAATACACTTTGCAGTATCAGGGTGCAGCTGGACTGCTTCCTCGTGGGTGTTATCTCTACAGCAAGTCCAGCTGTCAACAATCTCTTAGTTTTTTCTGGAGGATGTTTTATTCCACTTCAATTCTTCTTTTTTTCTGAGACAGAGTCTCATCTCTGTTGCTCTGTAAGAATGTGGTGGCTTCAGCCCAGCTCACTGCAGCCTCCAATCTGGCTCAAACTCCGTTGCCTTACCTCCCAGAGTAGCTGGGATAACAGCATGCGGCCACCAGCCGGTAATTTTCTATATATTTTACGTGGCAATTAATTTCTTGTTATTTCTTATGTAGAGACAGGTCTCCTCTTTCCGCCCCCCCCCCCCCCCCCCCGCCCCCCCCCCCCCCCCCCCTGGCTGGTTTCGAACGTCTGACAAGCATCCGCCCGCCTCGGCTCCAGAGATGCTAGGACGAACGCGTGGCCACCGCGCCGGCCCTAATAATGTATTTTTATGGATGAGCCCAATCGAGAGTTCATCTGCATGGTCTGCTTTCTTGTCTCCTGTCAATTTGGTAGCCGTAGTTCCTCGCCTCGTTGTCACGGGCTGCATTTCTAGAGACAGGGCGACATTTTGTAAAACACGTCCCTCTGTTGGTATTGGCGATGTTTGGCTTAATGACTAGGAGTGAGGTATGAATTGGCAGAAATGCTTCAGAAATAAAGGTGTGGACCGGCGCGGTGAGCTCACGCTGTAATCCAGCACTCTGGGGAGACGAGGCGGGCAGGATTGGCCGGAGGTCAGGAGTTCGAAACCAAGGGCCGAGCAAGAGCGGACCCCATCTCTACTAAAAGAATTAATTCGCTGGCAACTAAAATATATACAAAAAATGAGCTGGCGTGGTGGGCGCATGCCTGGTGAGTCCAGCTACTAGGGAGGGGGCTGAGGCAGGAGGATCGCTTGAGCCCAGGAGTTTGAGGTTGCTGTGAGCTGGGCTGACGCCACGGCACTCACTCTAGCCTGGGCAACAGAGTGAGACTCGGTCTCAAAAAAAAAAAAAAAGAAAGAAAATTGTGTTTTCTCAGCTTTCATGTTTTGAGGCACACGGCACTGCCTTGCCCGGTTATGGGTGTGGCCAACTTCAGTGCGTAGGTGGGCTCGTGCCGTGGCCCTCTGTCAGCGACCGCATGGGAGCCGGTTCTGTGTCCCACAGACCCTGTTTCTCATCAGACTTTCACTCCTTGTGCCTTCCTTTCCTGTGCTCGGGGTTGTTTTCTCAGCGTGGGTTCGCTAGCCCCGCAAGAGTGGAAGTTCTGGATGCAACGTGCTAGTTGGAGCGAGCCGGGGCGGGTCTCATCGTCTGGTCATGGTCAGTCATGGTCACTGAAGAACCCTGCAGTCACGCCAGTGGAATGAACAACTCCTTTGTGGACAAGGAAGATGCTGGAAGCTCAGGCAGACAGGCACGTGGGCTGTTCATCACCCACCTGACTGTTTTCCCCAGGAGGACGCATGGTGCTCAGGCATCCACCTGGGGGGCAGGTGCCCGAGGCCTTGGAGGGCGCCATGGCAGCTGTCTCTGCAGGTCAAGGGCCAAGGGCCACCGTGCACGGGCTCCTGATGTCAGTGGGGAGTTTGGATCCAGGAGGCAGAGATCAGAGCAGCTCTTAACTGCCCAGCGCGGCGTGAGTGTGGTCGCCTTAAGTGTCAGAAGATTTGGGTGCGGTCAGAACGGCTTCCCCACTGGAACTCTTTGCAGCAGTAAATTAACATGGGGTTGCCAGGACAGACCTAGATGGGATGCCCGCTAGGGCTTATTGGGTCCATTTGACTGAAACGACAAACTCTAAGTTTAGCAGACTTGGAGTCAAGCCAGGCTCGGGCCACTCCGTGTGCTGACACAAACACGTCCACAGACCCGGAGTCCTTGTGGAAAGGAGAGGCTGGGAGTGCCTGGGGGTCCTATGCTGGCACCACAAGAATGTAAGGAAAAGAGAAACTGGCCGGGCGGGGTGGCTCAGGCCTGTAACCCTAACACTCTGGGAGGTTGAGGTGGGCAGATCGCTCAAGGTCAGGAGCTCGAAACCAGCCTGAGCAAGAGCAAGACCCCGTCTCTACTAAAAATAGAAATTGGCTGGACAACTAAAAATATATAGAAAAAATTAGCCGGGCATGGTGGCGCATGCCTGTAGTCCCAGCTACTTGGGAGGCTGAGGCAGGAGGATCACTTGAGCCCAGGAGTTTGAGGTTGCTGTGAGCTAGGCTGATGCCACAGCACTCTAGCCTGGGCAACTTAGTGAGACTCTGTCTCAAAAAAAAAAAAAAAAAAGAGAGAAACAGCTTCTGGTTTGCTCACAGCTTATCATTGCCAGAGACGGGCATCTCCAACAAACTGTCACAGAAATGGAAGCGGCTCGGGAATGTGGGATTTGCTCTGGACTGAATGGTGTACCCCAAAATCCATACATGCTGCAGCTCTAGCCCCCAGCGTGACTGTGTGTGGAGACAGGGCGTTTAAGGAGGTAATTAAGGTTAAATGAAGTCATATGGGTGGATGCCTAACCCAATAGCACCAGTGTCCTTGTGAGAAGAGAGCCCAGGGACGTGAGCACACACAGGGAGACCACCCGAGGACACAGAGGCGGGTCTGCAAGCCGAGGAGAGGCCTCGAGAAACCAGCCCTGTCCGGCCGCAGTGTAGCCCAGGCGCTGCCGGGCTTGGTATTGGCCTTGCAGCCCCAGAACTGCGAGAAAGTGAGTTTCTGCCGTCTGAGCCCCACAGTCTGCGGTGCTTGTGACGGTGCCGGCAGCTGGCACAGACTGTCCTCAGGCGCAGGCTAAATGTGGCGTGGGCAGGCAGCCGCCCACGTCGACCGCTTGGTCCTCCACTTGCATTTGGGTTTCATGAGGAGTTGCCTGAAACAAGCTGGCCGAGGGGTAGGAAAGGAGCCTGGTGCCCAGGCGATTCTGCCCGCTGGGCTGGTATTGGGTGTCGGCTGGAAGAGGACTGTCACTAATCAGCCCCACTCAGCCAGGCCCTGGTGGGCAGTGGGGAGGGGGATCCGCCCGGGGGGAAAGGGCAAGGGGCGCAGGGCGCATCCCCTTGGCCAGGACGCTGGTCGACTGCACCTGTGACCAGGACCCAGAAGGAGCAGTTTGGAGGACTAGCTTGGGAGGTCTGGGTGGCAGGTGTGTTGGCGGACAGGCCTGGACTGGCCCAGGTGTGAGAATGGGTGTGTCCCGCGTGCCCCTCACCACATGCTCCTCCTGTGCAGATGGCACCCAGCTGGGGGGCCAAGACGCCCCCTGGAGGTCGCCAGCGCTCCTCCCCTCACCCCAGCCTTTCACAAGAGGCCCGTGAAAGAGGTGGTGGCCGGCCTGGCTGGAGCCTGCACTCGGGCTTGACAGCCTGGATCCCGCCAAGGCTGGCCTGGCCACTCGGCTGGCCATGGTCACCGCTGCACGCTCTGGCCACCGGCAGCTGAGACCAACACAACAGGATGTGCGCCGCGCCCTGGGGACCAGGCAGTCCTCGGTGGCAAAGTGGCTTTTTCAGTCAGAGCCCGTCCGTTGAGGCGGGCGGTGGGCTGTGCGCCCCAAGCAGACGCCTACTCTGGGTCCGGCTTCCCTCCCCCGTCCGCCTTGTCCACGGTGCCGCTGCCCGGACGCTTACTGACCACGGGGCCACAGAAGTGAGGCAGGGACGTGTGGCCAGCGGGCAGGCTCCCCCGGGCCGGGTCAGTATTTGCCCTTCCTGCGAGCGCACTCGCCGCCGCTTACCGCCCCCGCAGCTGCAGCGGGGTCTGTGCGCGCCGCTTGGCAGGCTCCGGGCTGTGGGCTCCCGGCTCCAGCCCCGCCGCGGCGCGCGGGACCAACGCCCCGAACCGGGCCTGACCCCGCAGCGACGTCACGTGCTCACTCTGCCCCGGCGCGCACGCAGCTCGGAGATGGGAAGCCAGGAGGTAACCGCAAAAAGGCGCACGTGCGGCCGATCCGGCGGATCCGCGCTCCGCCGCGCCCCAGGCGAACCGCAGGTGAGAGATTCCTGCCGTTGGCAAGGCCGGCCGACTCGCGCCGCGCGGTGGTCACCCCCGCCCGCTCCCTCGCTCCCCGCCCGGCAGCGCCCGGCTATTTCCAGCAACGCCGCTTCGGGTCAACCGACTGGGGAGCGGCGCCGGGAGCGCGACGCGGGGGAAGGGGCGGTGTCGCCCGGGCCTGGGGTCCGCGGAGCTTTGGCTTGGCCCCGCCGCGGTGGCCGAGACGGTGACGCGCCCGCCGGAAGGCCGGGCCGAGCTGGGTGAGCAGCGTCCCCTGCGCGCGGGGCGGGAGGGTGGGGCCGAGGATGGCAAGGCCTGGCCGGCACCTGGCCGGGCACGTGTCGGGTTAAGCCCCGCCGGCCCCGCGACCTCCCGCCGGTCCTCCCGCCGGTCCTCTCGGCCACCTGGGCGGGGCCGCGCAGGTGCTGGTCCTGCGCCTCCGCACCTGGGCGGCCGCGGCTGTGCCTGTGCGGTTAGGTGCAGCCAATGTTAATTGGTGTCTAGTCTTTAAGCCTCCCGAGTCCCGTTTCCGGGTGGCCGGCGCCGTGGCGCAGGTTGGTAATGTCAGAAGCCACAGCGAAGGGCTCGGTTGGTTCAGGGGTCCCAGGGGATGCGCCGGCCGGGACAGTTTCCTGGGAAAACCCCCTGCGCGGCCTGGACCCGGCCTCTGTGATGCGCCCCTGGGATCTGTCCCAGGCCCCTGCTTGGCGCTGGGTTTCCACCCGTGCTCCTCCGCGCGTGCAGGGCCGTGGACCAGGGTGCTCCTGCAGGACAGCGGGAACCGGTTACCCCGGGTGCCGGGGGAAGCTCCCCTGCACCTTGGGGACGGCGGGCAGGAGGAGAAGGCCCCAGGCTGTGCGTGCCAGGGTTTAGGGTTAGGAGCAGGGTCACAGGACCTGCCCAGCCCCTCCCTGGCCTTCCCCGAAGCAGATCTGTGGCCGGGAACTGACACTTGCTTTGGCAACTAGCGGCAGTTTGTCCCACGTTAGCGGCAGGTGGAGCTCTGTTTACCTCCTTGTAAGCTCAAGTGTTGGGGAGGAAAGGTCCCCCCTTTAGGTGAGTCCAGGATAGTCGAGCGTCAGGCACCTTGGTGCCTTCAGGAGAGGACCCCGCTGGGCCACACCACGTCCGGCGCTGGCTGCAGTCCCCGGGACCGCCATGCCCACCGCCCCGGCGCCAGGGCAGGGGCTGCTCGGGGGCTGCAGAGAGCGGCAGCGCCAACGGGCTCGGGCTGTGGGGCCTCACCGCTGACCTGGAATAATGTAAACAGCTGGCATCTACTCCTTCCTTGTACTTGTCAGCTTTCTACAAAAAGGAATAATATAAGTGGAAAGAAGGAACGCTGGTAATAACGAGTATCAGTTGGGAGTTGACTGCAAATATAATTTCAGCTTTGCTTTTTATTTATTTAAAAGAATTGTCTATTTTTAATTATTATGGGTGTGGCCGGGCGCCGTGGCTCACGCCTGTAATCCCAGCACTCTGGGAGGCTGAGGCAGGAGGATTGCTCAAGGTCAGGAGTTCGAGACCAGCCTGAGCAAGAGCAAGACCCAGACTCTACTATAAATAGAAAGAAATTAATTGGCCAACTAATATATATAGAAAAAATTAGCTGGGCATGGTGGTGCATGCCTGTAGTCCCAGCTACTCGGGAGGCTGAGGCAGGAGGATTGCTTGAGCCCAGGAGTCTGAGGTTGCTGTGAGCTAGGCTGACGCCACGGCACTCACTCTAGCCTGGGCAACAAAGCAACACTCTGTCTCAGAATAAAAGTAATTATTATGGGTGCATGATAGTTGCATATCTCTGTAGGGTACATGCAATGTTTGGATACAGGCATGCAATGTGAATTAATCAAATTAGGGTGACTGGGGTGTCCATCACCACAGGCATTTAACATTTCTTTGTGTTAGGAACGTTCCGATTCCACCCTCCTAGTTATTGTAAAGTTACCTAACTTATTTGGTTATAGTCACTTTGTTGTGCTATCAAGTATTGTTCATTCTATCTAAGCATCTAACTGTGTTTTGCACCCATCAATCAACTCCGCTTTATCCCCCTCCCTGCCACCCTTCCCTGCCTCTAGTAACCGTCAATCCACTCTCTGTCTCTAAGAGATCAATCGATTTAGTATGTAGCTCCCACATGTGCGTGAGAACACGCGAGATGTGTCTTTGTGTGCTTGGCTCATTTCACTCAGCAGAATGTTCCCCGGTTCCATCCGTGTCGTTGCAGATGACAAAATCCCGTTCTTTTTGCGGCTATATAATATTCCATTGTGTACATGTGCCCTATTTCCTTGTGTACTCACCCACTGACACGCTGGGGCTGATCCCGGATCTTGGCTATTGAGAATAGAGCTGCAGTAAACACGGGAGCGAGGATCTGAATTCCCCTCCTTTGTTTTTTGTTTTTGAGATAGAGCCTCACCCTGTTGCCCAGGCTAGAGTGAGTGCCGTGGCGTCAGCCTAGCTCACAGCAACCTCACACTCCTGGGCTCAAGAGATCTTCCTGTCTCAGCCTCCCGAGTAGCTGGGAATACAGGCATGCGCCACCATGCCCGGCCAATTTTGTCTATATATATTAGTTGGCCAGTTAATTTCTTTCTATTTATAGTAGAGACGTGGTCTCGCTCTTGCTCAGGCTGGTTTCGAACTCCTGACCTTGAGCAATCCGCCTGCCTCAGCCTCCCAGAGTGCTAGGATTACAAGTATGAGCCACGGAGCCCGGCCTAAATTCCCCTCCTTTGGATGCATGCCCCACAGTGGGATTGCGGGGCACTTGGTAGTTCTATTTTTAGTTTTTTGAGGAACCTCCATAGTGGTTGCACTAAATAATTTCAATTTTTTTTTTTTTTTTGAGACAGAATCTCACTCTTTTGCCCAGGCTAGAGTGCCGTGGCGTCAGCCTAGCTCACAGCAACCTCAAACTCCTGGGCTCAAGCGATCCTCCTACCTCAGCCTCCTGAGTAGCTGGGACTACAGGCATGCGCCACCGTGCCCGGCTAATTTTTTCTATATATTTTTAGTTGTTCAGCTAAATTCTTTCTATTTTTAGTAGAAAGGGGGTCTCACTCTTGCTTGGGCTGGTCTTGAACTCCTGACCTTGAGCGATCCTCCCGCTTCAGCCTCCCAGAGTGCTAGGGTTACAGGCGTCATCAACCACGCCTGGCCAATAATTTCAATTTTAAATAGGATTTTCAAGCAAACCGATGTATCAATGTATGAACTGATTGTTTTAGAGCATTATTTGTATTGAATATATTTACTCAGACAAGCTGCTGGCATTTGTTCTCAATACTGATGACGGCTGCTTAAGTCCAGACTCATGGAGGCAAAGGGGAGGGACAGGTGGTGGGTTCAGTTCAGAGGGAAAGATGTTGTCTGTCCCAGGCGTGTGCCTCGGGGATTGTTTCTCCCACTCTGACACCCCAGGGAGCAACGCGCAGGGCCTGCCTTTCCCGTGGGAGTTGGTGGCAGTTCATAGTCAACAAGTTCCAGGTTCTGCGGTTTGGGTACCACAGTTTGCATTCAAGATACTCTCGAGATCTAGGAGACTGAAAAAATGGCATAGCCATGAAAATTTATATATCTGCTATTTATATATCTGTATGTGTATATATATCTATATATAAAGAGGAAATAGTGACGTTAAAAATAGCACTTGCTGTATGCTGGGCCCTGTTCTGATTTCTTTCTTTTCTTTTTTTTTTCCTGAGACAGAGTCTCACTCTGTCGCCCAGGCTAGAGTGCCCTGGCATCAGCCTAGCTCACAGCAACCTCAGACTCCTGGGCTCAAGGGATCCTCCTGCCTCAGCCTCCCGAATATCTGGGACTACAGGCATGCACCACTACGCCTGGCTAATTTTTTCTATATATTTTTAGCTGTCCAATTAATTTCTTTCTATTTTTAGTAGAGACGGGGTCTCGCTCTTGCTCAGGCTGGTCTTGAACTCCTGAGCTCAAACAATCCACCCGCCTCTGCCTCCCAGAGTGCTGGGATTACAGGTGTGAGCCACCACGCCCGGCCTCTTTTTAATTTTTTAAACAATTTTATTGTGGTAAGAACACTTAATACGAGACCTGCCCTCTTCGCAAGTTCTAAGTGTGCGGTGTTGAAGGTGTCGGCTGTCAACTATTGTTTCCACGTCGTCCAGCAGATTTCTAGAGCTCGTTCTTCTCACTGGACGGAAACTTTACCTCTGTTGTTAGTGACACCCCCTTTCCCCCGCCCCGACCCCTGGGAGCAGCTGCTCTGGTCTTTGTTCATGTCATGACTTGGCTATCTTAGGTGCAGTCGGGCTTGTCCTGTGCATGGGTTATCTGAGCGTAAGGTCCTTGCGGTTCACACCTGAGCACATCACGTTGCTGTTGCAAATGTCAGAATCTCCTTCCTTTTCAGGGCTGACTAATATTCCACCTTATGTGCATGCCACATTTTCCTGATCTGTTTCCAATGGACTTTCCGGAGCTTGCATGGCCCCAGGAATGTGGGCCAGATGGGAGGCTGTAGCCGAGTCCGGGGAGTGCGGGGCTGGGCTGGGGGGTGGCGCTGGGGGTGGGCGAGTGAGTGTTTGTTTCTGCCATTTTTTTTGCCCTGTGATTTGAAATTTCTGATTCAAGGTGGTTTTTCATACGCTCAAGTGCTTGTTGAGTAACCTGGTTCTGTTTGCACTTGTGGGTTTCATCTGCTTCATGGTTGTTTTTACAAAGGAGGGAATTCTCTCCCTCTCTCTCTTTCTTTTTTTTTTGACAAGAGTCTTGCTCTGTTGCCCCAGATAGAGTGCCGTGGCGTCAGCGTAGCTCACAGCAATCTCAGACTCCTGGGCTCAAGCGATCCTCCTGCCTCAGCCTCCCAAGTAGCTGGGACTACAGGTGCAGGCCATCATGACAAGCTAATTTTTAAAATTTTTTGTAGAGTTGGGGTCTTGCTATGTTGCCCAGGCTGGGCTTGAAATCCTGGCCTCAAGGGATCCTCTCATCTTGGCCCCCAAAAGTGCTGGGATTACAGGCGTGAGTCCCCTTGGCCAGCCTGGCAGTCATTTCCTATATAAAGTATTAATCTATCTAAAACATTATTCCACTGCTTTGTGATTTCCACCAGTCCTACAAGAATTCAGCTGTTAGTCTCACTGTCCTTCCTCAGAACATCAACTTTTCCCCCTGGTGTTAATAGATTTTGTCGTTTAGTCTCTGTCCTTTCTCCCCCTTCCTCCTCCTCCTACAGTTTTATTCTGCCGTGTCTAGATTTTGACTCAGTTTG